TCCTATTGATAATTTGAATCAAGCGCATGGAATGTATCTTGACTAAGTCCACACACCACCATATAGGAGTCTCTCGACCTGTCCACATACAGGTGTTGGGGTCTCCATCTATAGCTCTCTGTGAGCCAAATATCTTGTCATTTTGACGATAAGTGTCACTCTGGGCTGTTGGTTTGTCTTTCTCGATTTCATCTGATACATTAAAAAGAAAAATGGCGTATTCTTAGTCAAGTTATTTTTTAGATGATATTACTATGACAAATATTATAGCAAAAATCATAATCACACATAAAAAGAATGCTTGTGTCCTATGTTTTGTACCAAATCAGCAATTATGACTCATTTACAGTACAGCAATACATTAACTTTACTACCTCCTTTTTTAATAATTATTTAGATTTATGGATTTAGCGTATTATACAAAATCTAGTTGACATCCTGAAATATATGTCACACGATTGCTTTAAGATCAATTAAAAGTTGTTTTTTATTTAATCTAATATTCATCTTCACTATGGTCAAGGTATTACGAGCTTTGTTTTATGAAGATAATATATATTATTACAAATATTCATACTGGGACTTAAAAGATAAAACATTATCATTAATATGAGTCATAAAAATTCTTACCAAATACTGGAACATATGTCACAATTCCACTTGATATCACATAGTCGTTTTCCAGTAGTACACGGCTATACAGATAACATTTTTGATCCTGTACGTTGTAGGCAAAAGATAGGCAAGGTGTTTCCACGTCTTCGAGACATTTCATTGTACAAAACAATGAATCTATTACATTCATATAAACCACAAAATAGTCGTTATACAGCTTATCTCTCGAATATATGGGGAACGAAAAGGTTCTTTCACTGAATACCTCAAACGATAAACACAGTAGGTATATGATATATAATTGTTGCTTCATTTTGTTGATGCTGGTATATTACATAAACTGGTTTAGCATGTCCACGAAAATTAAGAGCTGATCGTAAAAACTCAAAATCCAGGAAATTCTTCTGATAATATTATTAAAAATATTCCAATAATATTCTTCTGAGTTGGCGTCGAAAATTCCATAAAGTTTAATTTTGAGACAAAAGTTACACATGGTCGTGGAATACTTGATGAAGAAATCAACCAAGGATAAGACACTTACAGATGTTGTCATTGATAGCAGCTGTTAACAATCCCGACACAATGTATGTCCCATGACTTAATTTGTTATCAACTAGACGGATAAGTTGAACTGATGTTTCTTCCCTCCATTTTAACATACACGTAGACAGTAGAACAGGTAACTATTACAGTTCACTAAGTTTTAAATTCTCCGTTACGACAACTCTAAACACTCTCACAATAAAACTTGACTTTGTCTACAAAACTGCAGAAAATTTAACAAGAGTCTCATTGCTATGACAATAGTATAAATATTGACTATTTGATTAACTAAAATATATTGAAATAGTTTATAACGACTGAGCGTGTAATCTTTGCTTTTGCTTTAAATCTTTCTAATTCACCTAGTCTTAAATTGAATGTGAACAATTTGTCTCATCATTAACTCGTAATTTGCTAATTAAAGAGGCAGTGTGCAAAGATATTTCAAAATATGTTATGTTTATGTCACATGATTGCTGAAGGATTTTCAAATTTATATTATTAACATATTTGTATCTACATGATCTACTTGATATGTCTTTTCAAAAGCAGCCGACAAATACAGAATTCCAATGGTTGTGTTTCCATAATAAAGAAAATGTCAATGCTTTTTAAAAAAAATACACAGTGTATTAAATTAAGTTATTTCTAACGTACAATTTACCTAAAACGATTTAACTTTTTGGTATTTATCTTTTTCATTTTAAATATGGGTTATCTTATTTTAATTTATGAAAATTATTATACTTATATGAATAGAAAGTAAAGGTGTTCTAATGGCTTGGAAAAATACCAGTTTGTCTCACATGTCCATAATTAATTCTTAATTTGCTAAATTAGAAGAGAATTACCAGCAGAATTCCAATGAGTGACCGATCAAGAAAGTGAAATTTAAAAAAAAGACATTCTGATGTCCTCAAAATACCACTTGAAAAAGTGCTGAAATGTCCGTAAAGTTTCCATCTTACACGATATTTGGTTTCCAAAAATTCAAATGTCGATTGACTGATACATGCGTTACACATGGAATAACTTTTATATCTGAATTGGATGTTAGGTACTAATTTATTTTTACAGTTATAAATTTTTTATATCTTTTTATGCGTAGTTAATTAAGTGAAATTCAGACTGTTGAGTTGAAAATAAACTACGTTCACACAGACTAGAGTGTGGTCGATCTCAAATGCAGTTGCAGGTTGGTTGGTTGGTTGGTTGGTAGACACGAAGTTAACGTCAACTTCCAGCTGACTATGTCAGTTTAATGTTGGTTGTTGTTTTATGCCCCAGAATTGTCAATTGTCACTTGTGAATCTGATGATCTGTGTCCCAAGTTCAATGTTAAGCTTATAATTAGAGAACCATATCTCTTTGAAAACAAGCACACATTTGAGAGATTTGTTCAAACATACTATAATTGGAAATGATCTGAAAGTAGTATCGTGGGGTGAATCAATTCTTAGTGAAAGACAAGTTTAAAATTTAAACTACCATTAACTGTTTCTAGTAGATAGTCGGGGGTCTGAGCAGTCTAATACAGTTATTAAAATAGTGTGTTAAACTCTATTAAAAATCTGTCATACAAAGATTGATGTCACAGTAGGGAAACCTGTAATATTTGGAATGGGACATCATACTACCGTTTATCATCAGATGATGTTATTGGTCTTTACGATCAATCAAACATCAAAAACAAGAGAGTTCTTTTCACATTTCTTTGGTTTTCTAATAATATATTTACGTGGTAACTTTGAATCGCCACGAATAAAAAACATGATAGACTTTTAAAGGGACAGATACGGCACCCGTTTGACCAATACGTACCTTAGTCTTAGAAATATGATTTTCCTTTAACTAAGCTAATCAGTAATAGTGATCACAGCGAACACGTCGAAATGTGAGCCTTCAAATCCATGTGTACATGGTCAAAATTATCCGGGTTTGAAATTTAAAATAATCTATTCTTTTCATATAGAAATGGTCACAGAAGTGTCAATTGTCACTTGTGAATCTGATGATCTGTGTCCCCGGTTTAATCCTGTTTAATAAACAGAGCATCTGGTTACGTCTTCGTATCCCATATACGGGTTGTACAAAGTCTTAGTAATCTGAAAGCAGTATGACGAATGGGGGCGTGGTTTGGCCACGATGGTAAGGTATCAAGATGTGTTGGTGTGAATGGTGCTTGAATACAAAGATTTGAACCCAATGTCCCTTTGTCAAATGAAAGAAAAAAAATTAAACAGTGTCTAATTACCGTGACAAACGTAGAAATATTAAATAATTAATTAACTAACATATGATGAAAGAAATCATTACAGACATCAGAAAGGTGAACGGTTCTCGACCAGCCCGAAAAGTCATAAGATGGCTTTTGAAAATAAAATTCTGATGTGATTTTGGGGAGGGGGCTGGTGGAGGAAGTGGGAGGCATGCCTCCTCCCGTAAAAACACCACTGCTTGTAACCGGTTAGAATAAATATAATATGCAGTCCGTGCTATTTTTAGAAATCCTGTTTCTCCTTCCCTTTTGGGGTTTATGCAAGCTAAAACAAGTGTTTACAATATGACAGTTTTTACCTCATTGCTCCTGCATGGCTCTGTCTCTCTTCATTTACCCACATGGTGCAAAAAAGTAGGACGTAAAACTCCATTATTTTCATGTAATTCTTTAAGATTTTTTAATGCATAACAATATAATCATCATTTACTGGTCACATGTGGTCTATAGACCAATTAGAAAGTACATTTATGACTCAGTATCACAGCGTTGTATATAGCCTTATAAACTGTAAATATTGTTCATATAGTCAATATACGTTTATCATTATCAAATTCAATACAAAACCTTTAAACACCTTAAAACACATCTATGCATTATACTAGAAGTATATTAGAATATTCTTACTTCTGTCGAGAGACATAGAACAAATTCCAAGACCCTCAAAACCGCCTCCCATTCTAAATGTAAGAAGTCTACGCAAACGAATTACCACAGACCCAATAGCTCTCGATATTATCAAAGCTGAATACTCGGAGAACTTTGATTTTATTCTTTTAACCGAAACTTGGCTTGACAAAAACATTTCTTCAGGTGTAAAAACATTTATATTAATTTCCGATGATTTCAATATAGATAGTAATAACTGAGACGCCCGACACATGGCCTATCGTAGAAAGCGATCCTAAAAAGTGGAAATTCTATGCGTGTGAAAATGTAGATAGATATGAAAATATTTACTCAGGGTTTTTAGACAGCAGAGCTACAGTTTGAACTGTCGAAATAATCGAGAAGAATGTTGAGCTCTGCGAAATGTAAAAATTTAATCTTCTGATGACGAATGAAGATAAACCGGGCTCTCATCTCAGTCGGGGTTGTACCTGATGTACATTTGGTTATATCGTAATGTGGCTGATCTGTACCCAAATCACGATAACACTCACTAGAATCATCGAGACCAGCTTCATCACAGTTACCAGTCATCCCAAAACTCAAACCAAACCCTTTCATCCGATCAGAATAACCTACAAAAGAAGAATAATAGTATAACCGTTCATATAATATTTAAAAAAAACGAAAAAAAATCCCCAAAAACCAAACAAACTGGAAAAACTTATAGTAACTCAAAATACGAATCAGTACTGGAGAAATACGAATCAGTACTGCAGAAATACGAATCAGTACTGCAGAAATACGAATCAGTACTGCAGAAATACGAAAGTCGAGTTGTCAAGTATATAAGTTAAAGAATTGCCAAGTAGAATATAATGTCTGCAGTATTTATTCGTATTTTCGACTTAATATATGGTTTTTTGATTAATTGTTTTTCGTTGTTTTTTTTAAATATTATATTGGCTCAAGAACCAATAAAATGACAAAGAGTTTTCGTTCGTGGGTTGGAGGAAATCATCAACGAGCGATTTTCATGCAGTTCTAATATTTCTGAAGATTATTGCTATTTATTAAAGACCAAAATCAACCCTCGCAAATAAGGAACCATGGCTTTTAGGAAGCTACGTATTTAGAAAATGTAACAGGGGAAATATTAATCTATGCTTACTTTTCCTATTGACAATTTGAATCAAGCGCATGGAATGTATCTTGACTAAGTCCACGCACCACCATATAGGACGCTCTCGACTTGACCACATATAGGTGTTGGGGTCTCCATCTATAGCTCTATGTGAACCATATTCCTCGTCATTTTGTTGATAAATTTCACTCTGGGCTGTTGGTTTGTTTTTCTCGATATCATCTGATACATTAAAAAGAAAAGTGGCGTATTCTTAGTCAAATTATTTTTTAGATGATATTACTATGACAAATATTATAGCAAAAATCATAATCACACATAAAAAGAATGCTTGTGTCCTATGTTTTGTACCAAATCAGCAATTATGACTCATTTACAGCAATTCATTAGCTTTACTACCTCCTTTTTTAATAATTATTTAGATTCATGGATTTAGCGTATTATACAGAGATTCTGTTGTATAATTATTACACCTGGTAAGTCCACTAGTGATTATATACTCTTATAGGTCCAGTTGGAGCGAAATTTCAATTTTGTGTTCAATGGGTTCCACGAACATTGAAGTGACCCATACTCAATATCTAGTTGAAATCCTGAAATATATGTCACTCGATTGCTTTAAGATCAGTTAAATCATACTGGCACTTAAAAGATAAAACATTATCATTAACATGAGTTAAAAAAATTCTTACCAAATACTGGAAAATATGCCACAATTCCACTTGATATCACATAGTCGTTTTCCAGTAGTACACGGCTATACAGATAACATTTTTGATCCTGTGCGTTGTAGGCAAAAGATAGGCAAGATGTTTCCACGTCTCTGAGACATTTCATTGTACAAAACAATGAATCTGTCATATTCATATAAACCATAAAATAGTCGTTATACAGCTTATCTCTCGAATATATGGGGAACAAAATGGTTCTTTCACTGAATACCTCAAATGATAAACACAGTAGGTATACGATATATAATTGTTGCTTCATTTTGTTAATGCTGGTATATTACGTAAAGCGGTTTAGCATGTCCACGAAAATTAATTTTCTATCGATAATATTATTAAAAATATTCTAAAAATATTCTGCTGAGTTGGTGTCGAAAATTCCATAAAGTTTAATTTTGAGACAAAAGTTACACATGGTCGTGGAACACTTGATGAAGAAATCAACCAAGGATAAGACTCTTACAGGTGTTGTCTTTGATAGCAGCTGTTAACAATCCCGACACAATGTATGTCCCATGACTTAATTTCTTATCAACTAGGCGGATCAGCTGAACTGATGTTTCTTCCCTCCATTTTAACGAACACGTAGACAGTAGAACAGGTAACTATTACAGTTCACCAAGTTTTATGTTCTCCGTTACGACAACTCTATACATTCTAACAAAAAAACTTGACTTTGTCTACAAAAATGCAGAAAATTTAACAAGAGTCTCATTGCTATGACAATAGTATAAATATTGAATATTTGATGAACTAAAATATATTGAAATAGTTTATAACAGACTGAGCGTGTAATATTCTGAAAATGATAAAAATATTAAGTGTTTCTGATTAGGTACAGGAGGTTGAACATTGTCGTATTACCAGTTAAGCGGCCAAGATCTTCTTTTAAACTTTGTCTCAACTGTTTTTATTTATTCATATAAATATATGATATATCTGATTATTGTCATAAATACTTGCATCAATAAATAGTAGAAGTGTTCTTATGATTGGGAAAAGCCAGCCTCTATCAACCAGTCTCTCTTTGACTGCGATGAAAGATGGCTTGGAACTTTTGCTTTAAATCTTTGTAATTCACCCAGTCTAAAACTGAATCTGAACATTATTAACTCGTAATTTGCTAATTAAAGGGCAGTGTGCAGAAATATTTCAAAAATATGTTATTTACATCTTTGTATCTACATGATCTACTTGATATGTCTTTTCACGACCGAAGACAAGCAAATACAGAATTCCAATGGTTGTGTTTCCATAATAAAGAAAATGTCAATGCTTTTTTTTAAAAAAATACACGGTGTATTAAATTAAGTTATTTCTGTTAATTATTCATACAAAAATATATCTTTCTGAAACGATTTTATAATTTGGTATGAGGAAAATTGTTAGGGACTGAGGCGCCATTCTTTTGACCAATCATACCTTAGTCTCAAAAACGGGGAATTTTAAGCTAAGCCAATCAGTAATGCATCTATAGAATAGGCAAAGAAATTCCTAGTTGGAAAAATCAATCCCTCGAAATGGCGCATCTGTCCCTTTATAGTTTTATGTCTACTGTTGACAATCAGTTTAAACAATGATACTTATACGTGGTTCTCTCTGTCTTGCTATCCGTAACGGGATTGTCTATTCGTAACTAATTGTTAAATTGCTCTGAAATTCCAGGTTTGTGATTCAAGTCATATCGTTTCAAAAGGATCTACTGCACTCGTATACGATATTTCTGTTTACAATTTTTTTCAATTCTCGGTGACACGGCATGATCTTCGGTTAAAGGGACATTGGCCATTTTGATGGGTTGATTTTAGTCTTGAATATATGTAAATAGTCTTCAGATGCACTAAAATTGTAAGAAAATCGCATAATTCCTTTAAAAATACTGCAAACAGAGAATTTTACTCACTATTTCCATATATGTCATTTCAATCTATCACAGAGTATTTTAAATTGACCAGTGGTCATTTCAACATTCAAACGCAGATAATTCTGAACACACATGGATTTGATGGCTCAAATTTCAGCAAATGCAAAGAAACTGAGAATCAAAATCCATTTCCATGAACACTGCACAGAATAGGCCTACATTCGATATGTTTATATTTCAGTAGATTTACAACACTTGGTTGAAAAATTGATTTGATATCACGCGTTAGACAAGAAAATACACCATAGTTTTATAATAATAAATTTCCGTCTAAGAGAATAGATTGATTCCAATATACGTACGAAACCAATTAACCACAATCAGATAATTATTTTGTGGTATTTCATAATAATTAATCATTAGTTACTACACTAATTAGTGAAAGGTCGTCTCTTCTAATTCTTCTTCTAATTAATAATTTGTCATCAGGAAAATAATAAATTTCTTTTGAAGTACTACGCCTTAGAATGAACATAAAATTTAATTCTCAAGAATGGCCAATGTGAGTATATATTCATCAGTGAAATTACCTGGTGTATAAAGTTACATTTACAACATAATCCAGAAAATTGGAAATTTCATAAAACTAAGTGATTATTGTAAAAAGCTTAATCAGAATATTCAGCGTTTTTCAATAGTTAATTGCATTTTTATTCAGGAAAATAATCAGGAAAATAATGAATTTATTTTAACAGAGGGGCACAGAAATTTTTATAGGAAAATGTGACAGAAAATAGTACAGAAAGGGGTGATAAGTGGAAATTCTATGCGTGTGAAAATGAAGATAGAAATGAGAATATTAACTCAGGGATTTTATACAGTAGAGCTACAGTTTGAACTGTCGAAATAATCGAGAAGAATGCTGAGCTCCGCGAAATTTAAATATTGAACATTCTGATGACGAATGAAGATAAACCGGGCTCTCATCTCAGCCAGGGTTGTACCTGATGTACATTTGGTTATATCGTAATGTAGCTGATCTGTACCAATATCACGATAACACTCAATAGAATCATCGAGACCAGCTTCATCACAGTTTCCAGTCATCCCAAAACTCAAACGAAACCCTTCCATCTGATCAGAATGACCTACAAAAGAAAAATAATAGTAAAACATATATTGTTTATATAATATTTTAAAAAACGAAAACAAAATCGAAAAACGATTTATTAACTTGAAAAGCTAATAGTAGCTCGATAATACTAATAAGTACTGCCGAAATACGAAAGTCAAGTTGTCGAGTATATAAGTTAAGAGTTGCCAAGTAGAATATAAGAGTCATCAGTTATCACAGTTTTCAGTCATCACAAAACTCAAACGAAAACGTTCTATCCGATCAGATAAAACTACAAAAGAAGAATAATAGTAAAACAGTTCATATAATATTTCAAAAACACAATACAAAATCGAAAAAACGATTCATTAACTGGAAAAACTAATAGTAACAACGAACGAATTTCATGCAGCGCTAATAGTTATGAAGATTATTTCTATTTATTCAAAAATCAACCCCCGAAAAAGGGGAACCATGGCTTTAAGAAAGCTACGTATTTAAAAAATGTGACAGGGGAAATATTAATCTATGCTTACTTTTCCTATTGATAATTTGAATCAAGCGCATGGAATGTATCTTGAGTAAGTCCACGCACCACCATATAGGAGTCCCTCGACCTGTACTCATAAACGTGTTGGGGTCTCCATCTACAGCTCTATGTGAACCATATTTCTCGTCATTTTGTTGATAAGTGTCACTCTGGGCTGTTGGTTTGTCTTTCTCGATATCATCTGAGGAGATAAAATAAAAATCATAATGGCGTATTCTTAGTAGAATTGTTTTTTTGATATAATAGCCCTATAACAAAAATGTTAGAAAAGAAATCATAATCACATATAAAAATAATGCTTTATCTCATATTTTGTACCAAATGAGCAATATATAACTCACTTACCAACATCAGACAGTAATTCATTAGCTTAGCTACCTATTTTTTTTCAATAATTATCTAGATTTATGGTTTTAGCGTTTATACAGAGATTTTGTTATATAATTATTATACCAGGTGAGTCCTATATGATTAAATATCCTTATTGACACAGTTTGAGAGAAATTGAAGTTTTGTGTTCAAAAGATAACAGCTGAGATCTATATTATTACCCAACAAACATTCATATGACCCAAACCCATAATCTAGATGAATCTATTAAAATACTTACCAAATACTGGAACATATGTCACAATTCCACTTGGTATCACATAGTCGTTTTCCAGTACCGTAGTACACGGCTATACAGATAACAAATATGATCCTGTGCGCTGTACGCAAAAGATAGGCAAGGTGTTCCCACGTCTTCGATACATTTCATTGTACAAAACAATGAATTTGTTATATTCATATAAACCATAAAATAGTTGTTATACAGCTTATCTCTCGAATATATGGAGAACAAAATGGTTCTTTCACCGAATACCTCAAACGATAAACAGAGTAAGTATATGATATATAATTGTTCCTTCATTTTGTTGATGCTGGTATATTACATTAACTGGTTCAGCATGACCACGAAAATAA